CGGCTCTTCCCCGTCCCCCGGCTCCTCGTGCCCGCCGAGCGCGGTCGCGGCGGCGGCGGCGTCGGCGTCGGCGATCCATGGAGCTTGAGAACCTCTTGGCCAACTCGGTGCTGCTGAAAGCGCGCCAGGGTGAGTCTATCGCGCCTCCCGACCCTACCGGGAAACTTCGACCCCGTGGATGACCCAGAACCTCCGAGGAACCGTGACCTTCACGAAAACCCCGATGCCCCGCGGAACCCCGGCCCCCTGCAAAACCCAGAACCCCCGAGGAACCACGACCCTGACCGGAACCCTGATCCCCCACGGAACCCCGGCCCCCTGCGTGACCCAGAACCTCCGAGGAGCCCCGACCCTGACTGGAACCCTGATCCCCAGCGGAATCCCTACCCCCTGCAAAACCCAGAATCTCCCAGGAACCGCAACCCTGACCGGAATCCCGATCTCCCGCGGAACCCCGACCCAGGGTCCGCGCTGCCTCACTCTTGGGAGTAGTCGGTCAGCGAGTGGTCAGCTTAGGCCGCCCTAAGGCGTAGGCTGTTCTGTCCCCTCTCTGCACCCCCTTCAGCACCTCCAGACCCAAGTGAAGGTAGTTTGCGCTCTGCGCTTGTTAGTTTGAGCCTGGTTTCGAGTCCTGCTCTGTCCCGGCAACCTCGAGTCACAGTGTCGCTTCAGCGCCAGCCGAGCAGTGTCCTGTCCAGAGAAGGCGGAAGCCGGACCACCGAGTGAAGCCAGCAAAAGGGAACCATGCCTTTGTGGTCTTTAAAGGAGGAAGAAGAGAATTCTGTAAACTACCCTGGGCGAGAACCTTCCATTCGTGTTTTCAGGCTGTTATTTTAACATAGCTTCTTTTAATAATTTTTATTTATTTATTTTTTTCCCCCAAAGCCCCAGTAGATAGTCGTATGTCATAGTTGCACATCCTTCTAGTTGATGTATGTGGGACTAGGCCTTAGCATGGCCGGAGAAGCCGTGAGTCAATGCGCACCCGGGATCCGAACCCGGGCCGCCAGCAGCGGAGCGCACGCACTTAACCGCTAAGCCACGGGGCCGGCCCTTAACATAGCTTCTTGGTTTTGAGGTTTGATCTGAAGCTTTATGGTGTGTAGGGTGGGTTTTAGCACGACCCAGTGACAGATTAAACTAGTAACAATTCACCCTTATATCAGTGTAAAAGCAGCAGTTGGCCCAGTCCTTCTGCTCAGAGACCCCTAAGTAGAGTCCTCTGTCTCAGACTGCGTGTCCCTCTCTTGCCTCCCAAGAGATCATAGAGCTGACACAGAGCTGCCCACCCATAGTTCTTTTAGCCCCTTCTTTCTTAGGAGTCGGTGATGGAGCAGCTGCTTCGTTTTTGTGCTTGGAACAGAGTAAATTCCGGCTGTAGGGGCCAAACTAGCCAGCGCAGCGTGGTTAAAGACAATCTAGAAGGAGTATTTTATGCCCAGTCCACCAGGGCTTCAGGGGTCCATCCTGGGCACAGATGTCGACAAAGTGGTGCTCCTGGGTGATGTGGGATGCTGTTGAAAAGCATCAATAAATTCTTCTTGTGATTGGAATAGTGAATAATGTTCTGTGAGAGAAATTGATCTGGAACACACATATTTTAGATGTTTGGTTTTCATTTCCTTTTTAAGCTTCCCTCCTTCCCATTTGTGTCCTAAGTGCCTCTGGAGGAAAGGTCTTGATTAGAAGTACTGGTTTCTCAACACCTTGGAGACCCTGAGTCAGAAACATTGTATAGTAGTTCTTGAAGGAACAGGGAGTGGTGCAGAGAATTAGATACCGACGTTAGGGTTTAAATGGGAGGATCTGAAATTAAGTAGTAATGAACTTTTATTTTGTGAAAATGTTTCTCATATTAAAAGTTAAAAATAGAGATCTCATCTTCTCAATATTTTTGTGCACTACTCAAGTTATTTTGAATGGAAGAACTGAGGATGGGTGGGAAGAGAACTGGGTCTTATTTTCTGTTAAGGCAGTAGGGAGTCCTCAGAGCAGTATGCCCTCTTCACATCTGTTTCAGTGGAGCACTGGTGGTGCCTAGTGTCCCTTACTCTGAAGTCCAGATTGGTCATAGAAGTGAATCATCCTCCATGGAAATCAGGTCTGACCAAGGCTAAACCTGTGTTCATTCCACTCTACCTTCAATCTGGGTATAATGTTCAAGAGGAATAGTGTATCAACCAGACTGCCTTATAATGCCGTAGAGATGAGATAACGATGTAAACATAAGTGCTCTGTAAGTGCTAAATAACATGAAACCAGTATTTTCTACCCTAAAGCCTAGGACTGCAGTGATAGTTTCAAAGGAGTTTTATTTTTTGTTCCTCTAAGGTGTTAACTCCTGGTGTATGACTCTTACAACGTGTGCCCCTGGTCAGCAGAGAGTGTTTACTCCTGTATTCAAAGAGCGTTGCTATATCAGTGTGGTTAATGCTTAGAGAAGTTGAGTATGAAATATCAGAGAGATGTGAATATATGCTGAGTGTTGGTTACAATTTAGAGCTATTTTCCCAAGTTGAAAACTCTGTGTTTATTTGCTTTAGAAGCTTGTAGAGTATTTCCCAGAAATGTCTTCTTGGACGCATGTCTGTTCATGGCTAGCTCCTCACCTAGTCTCTCTGGCTCATGTTTTAGAAAATTAAATTTTGAAATGAGTGGACATATCACAATAGTTATATGTTTGTCCGGGCAATTGCAATGTTGGTTTAATAAGTGAGTCCAGTCATTTTCCAGATTTATTTGAGTGGATAAATAAAATCAATCTCTCTCTTTTTGATCTCAAACAGAAGATGGTTAGAACCTTCCTCCTTTTCAGGAATGTTGGCAGATGATGCTGCATTGAACAAGTTTGTGTGTCACTATGCCAGGCACACTTGAAGGAAGCATGAAATGATCATATTGTTAATGAAATAAAACACAAAAACCACTACTTTTTTTTAAATTTAGGATTTTTTCCCCCTGTGTAATCCATTTGTTAAGCAATTTATACTTTTAATCACTTTAAATAATAAGCATAAGTTGTTTCACATCATACTTCTGAGGAGACTTAAACCCCATTTTATCTCTTGGAGAAGTTGGTGGCATAAATGCAGAGGAAGGAATATATGATATGTACGTATACATATATATGTAAATCATATGTATATGATTTCATGTGGACTTGGTCTTATATAGCAATTCCATTCTGATTTCAGGCTATCGGGTTACTTACCAGTTTGTTTAGCACCTGAAGCAGAGTTAATATTCCAGTTATCATCAGTGCTCTCTTGCTGAGGCTTCCTCTCCGGGATTTTTGGTTGCAAGGAGTTTCTAGAAGTAGCTTATAAACCCTTTGATTCCAGAGGTATAGTAGCCAACGTTTTTGTTTCCTTCATTGCACTTAATTTGTTCCCATACTCGAGCTATGTAATGAATTTTTGTTGTATAAATGAAGAACTTTTGTGTTTGTGTGGACCTGTTCTTTTTTTTTTTTTTTTTTTTGTGAGGAAGATCAGCCCTGAGCTAACATCCATGCCAATCCTCCTCTTTTTGCTGAGGAAGACCGGCCCTGAGCTAACATCTATTGCCAATCCTCCTCCTTTTTTCCCCTTTTTCTCCTCAAAGCCCCAGTAGATAGTTGTATGTCATAGTTGCATATCCTTCTAGTTGCTGTATGTGGGACGCGGCCTCAGCATGGCCCAAGCGGTGCGTCTGTGTGCACCCAGGATCCTAACCCGGGCTACCAGTAATGGAGTGCGAGACTTAACCGCTAAGCCATGGGGCTGGCTCCAAAAGTATTTTTTTTAAGGAAACTTTTTTATAAGATAGTGCTCTCTGTTCCTTAAAGATTGGTGAACGTTGCCTTTGAAACTGCCTGGGCTTGGTGTCTTTTTCCCCCCCTTAGAAGCAGGGATGGGGATGGTTCTTTTTATCATCAGTTTAGTTTCTTTAATACTTAATGTGATAGTCAAGATTCCTGTTTTTTCTTGAGTCAAGTTTGGTAATTTCTGTTTGTTGAGAAAATTATTTTCATCTAAGTTTTCAAATTTATTTGGCATAAATGTTATTTGTAACATTACTATTTTTACAATTAGAGTTGTGATCTTTTTCATTTGCAATATTATTTGTGGGTGACTTTTATTAGACTTGCAAAAGATTTTTCTATTTATTAATCTTTTCAATGAACTAGGTTTTGGTTTCATACGCTCTTCTCTATTGTATATTTGTCTTCTGTTTTATTAATTTCTGCTTATATTATTATTTTATTTTAATTTGCTTCTAGCTTCTTGAGTTGAAT